TATGCGTTTCTACGTCAGTTTGGGAAGGAACAAGAATTGTTGGTGGAGACCTTGGTCTGATGGTCTCTGACGTTGAAAGACCAGGCGTAGCGGCAACGAGTGTGCTATTTTTAAGTGACTTTCTCAGCTTGCTGACACACAATCAGTTTTAGAATTTCATGAAGAAAAGGTCCGAGAATCATGAAAGTGTGTTAATGCGCGTATCATTTTTTTTCCTATCTACATAAATGTCACATTTGGGATTCCCTGACAAGAAGATGATTAATCAGTTCCGGGAGCCTCTGATCTTCTGAATTCTTGCAGGCAAATATGACGTTTTTATAAATACACTGAAAGTTCCTCTTACTGAGGGATCTATGTTCCTTAAGTTCCCTCACGTGGGATAGTGGAATTGATCGCGTACAGAAAGCCTTCGTTACTTGTCAGAGGATGCTACACTCTCTCGTGCATGAGAAACAAGTTTTTCTTTTCATCACGCCCGAATATCACCCAAGAAGTTAAAGGAAGGCGAGAGCCATTCTAGGCCGTCTTCTGTCTCACAACTCGTTGGACTTCACCCATCAAACACGTGCTTCACTGTCCCCTCGAAATCCACCTCGAGTCTCCCCTAGCGTTTCTCTCGCACATTGCAGGATGACTTTCACGGTGCTGCTCGACGTCTGCTGAACGCTTCTCCACAAATCCGGGAGACCAGTTTCCACCATCTTCTGTTTGTGCCCTTCTTTTTTGACATGGTGCAGCTCCCACAGCAGGCTTCTTCGTTTCGCTCTTGCCCTTGATCTCTTGAGGAGCTTCGGCCATATCTGCTAGGAGTCTGTGCTGCGGATCCAGTTCTTCGCCAGGCAGTTTCTTGATATCTCTTACGGTTTTGAAGGATGACCTTCCAAATTCCAACTCCTGAGCACATGGTCTGATCCGTTTATTTCCCTCCACTGCTGTAGGTTATCTTCCGAGTTTTCCTTTTCGCTGACAATGTGCCTCCGTGTACCCTTTCAAGGCTGCTCTTTCCCTGCCGGTGTGCTCATTCGGATCACTCGCTACATATTGTGAGATAGTCCGTCTCCGGAACACATTTGATGACCTTGTCGAGGCCCAGATAGAACTCATCGTTTTCGTAGTCAGGGCAGATAGCTTGCGGATATTGATATCCTCATCCTGACGCTACCGATACCACTTTTGCAAAGCATGGCTTATGCATCAGCAGGGGTCGAAGCCTTCTCGGGAACAGAAGTGAGCCAACATTCCGAACCACTCGGCTATTCTTGCCCTGCTCTTTGCAAATTACATCGTGCTTATAACACTGAATATGGAGCAGGCGGAACAAGTGCTGGCTATATTCGACAACCCCTATAGAAAGATAGGCTTGCAACTGAATCTAACGAAGAGTTTCATAAGAAACAGATTTGCCCCTGAAACTCCCTTTGTGCTGAATGGAAAGAACATCTTTGAATGCTTAGCACGTGTCTCTAGGCCAAAAAGTCAATATAATGACCGACTGAGCTCCGGAGCTGTACCAAAGAAAAGGCGCTGTGAGACTTGAACACTTGGGACGCAGGATGAGCATGCAGTCAGCATCATTCGTTTTTCTTGAAAAGAGTGATGCTCGGGAATTCCTGATACATACAAGTACAAGGGAGTCTTTAGTCCCGAGTTCCGTCAATGGTTAAATATAAGCTCCAACTCTCCGAAGCGGGAAACAAAGGCGAAGGTGATTCTTGAGCTGGTGCAATGTGACGAAGTTCAGGGGTGTTTTAAAGATTCCAGAAAATTTAGAAAAAGCTTTGTGCAATGAGGATTTTTCAACAGATGCATCTCGTACACCCTAGTACATCTAAAAACTACATTGTTCGTCATTATTAATCTCGAAATGATGGAACATTTGGGGTGTGAAAACTTGTGTACGATTGCGATAAGGATATGTACGATCAAGGTTACTTCGCCGCTAGGTNCAAAGTAACATCAATCGTACAGAAGTTCGCACACCCGAATATTTGAAGCTTCTCCTGCAGACAAAGACTTCTGCGTCCCTGAGCATCGAATTCGTCCTACATAAAAGGTTTGAAGACCATATAGAGCTGCTCGTTGTGTTGAAGGCAGAAGTATTACCTGACCTGAGTCCGTTTCTTGTGAATGGGCAAATAATGATGACATTTGTATCAAGTTTTTCCTGGTAAGAAGGCAGGTAAACACGGCTACTGAAAGTGTTCGAGCGGAAATTATAGAAATCATCTCAAGATCCATCTCCAATGTTACATCAGGACTTTGAAAGCATATTAACGGATAGGTTCCTAGCAGAGCTGCTGTTTTATTTTCTTCTATCGTCACTCCTTGATTGCTTCTCTGCATAACTTCGCAACCTCACATGTTAATATGTAATTACTCAATGTCAGCAGCTGGTGGTAGTTTACGTTAGCATATCAGATTCAGATGGAGAAGTCTTCTGATAACTGGCTGACTCTCTGCCTTCGCGTCAATGATCCGATTACACTCCTCGCCGATGTTGCCGATAATATCAGAATGTCCCATGAACTGATAAAGGAAGCCACTCAATCAACCACAGTTCCGAAGCCTCGCTTCTTAAACTATGTGATTTTCCTTCCACGCTTACAAAGCCCTGTGACTCTTGTGAGGAAGCGATAGTCTGGCTACGTAGAATCCAAAGGACATGACAGCATTAATTATTTATCAGTGCTGCTGAGATGCAGGCAAAACATTGAACAAGGACGGACTACGTTAAAAGGCGCAGCAATCGACCGAGGAGGCTAAATCCGACATTGGTTAGGCAAACATTGGGAAGGGCTCAGTCTTATGGGCCCAGTCTTATGATGAATCTTCAGTAAAAGGCTACCTTATTTGTCGTTAAAAAGGGGTTTTCAGTTGTGTAAGTTACCATGACTGGATTCGATCGAGCTAGATGCAATTCAGTCTCCCAGGTCCTCTGAGCCACATTGTAGAGTTCGTCAGCCTTTCTTCCATGATCATTTTGATCATCCATTTCGGCGACATAGTCGCTGAAGATGACTTCATGGAGCTCAGTCCCTTTTCTGTGTAAATTCTCCCGTCCTATACGAAATCGATACATTCGTTTGCAGAAGCTCGATGTTTGAGCGAAGCCAATGAACAGTATTTAGATTGGAGTTGACCTAGAATTCCCAATCACAAATGAAACTTTCGATATGTACGAGTCAACTAATATGACCATTTTTGCTTTAGCGAGACACTTACAAAGTTGCTAACACCTCTTATTTCTGCATATCCTGAAGAAGAATTCATTTCCGCTGTTGCTGCTGCTTCTCGTTCCGCTCAAATCGATGACGTCGGCTAGTTCTTTTTGATTTGCGTGATCAGTTCTTCGACAAACCCTTTAGGGCTCGCATTGAGAGTGCGGATCATCGAATTGATGTCGAAGTTATTTTGAGCGGTCTGCTAGACTCTGATTTTGTCAACTTTCTTCGTCCATCTACCTAAGGTTAACGTTCAAAAATTGCTTAACGTTTTGTGGCCCAAATTGTAAACAGGGTACAGCAACAAACGTAAACACGTGAAGTAAATTCCCCATTTCCTCTACCTTTCGCTATTAGGCAAAGATGCGTAGGCCTTTGATCCCTGACCAACTCTTCTCCACAATCTCCGATTTTGACCCTTTCAAGAAGATGGCACCAAGTACTATTAATCTATGTTTCCCGCAACCATGGCACCTAAGAGAGTGAGTTGAAGCCTATCGCCCGCTCCGATGTGAAGGGAATCGATGGACGTACAGTCAGCTCTCAGAACGTTTTTTTTTCAACCACTGACAGTTTTTGATTCCTTTGCCTCGTATTGTGACGCAGCTACTTCTCTGTCGCACTGTCCTACTCTGAATATCGGTCTGACCAGCATCATTAAGCATCTTTTCGAAGTTGTTGGGGATTACGGTGTGCGGCTAAATGCTCTCAGTGAGAGCCTTTCAACTGTCTTCGAAGCTATCAGTGCCGCTCGACCGGTCGATCACGAATGAAAATAGCTGGAAACTGGTCTAGTTTGATGGTGGCTGCCGCTCTCCGTGTCTGACTTGCTCTCTGTATTCCCCTCGGAAACTTCGTGATACAGAATTTTCATTGACGTTTTGTGTTTACGTACGCTACCATAGATTACTTAGATCCGCCTAGTAGATTAGTTCTTTTCCGGTCAAGTGCTGCTCGAACTTGAACTTGACACTTCCTATGTCAGTTGTCTGAAGTTAGTCATACAAAAAACGGCCGTCGTAAAATAAAAGCTTGTCTTACGCTTCAGAAATTCAAAACTTCTGGACGTAACATACAATACAGCACATAATTGGTAGGTAAACAGCGAAATCGTCATAGGATAATGTATTGTCCGCATGTGGCTGTCTTTGGAACCCGAATATATTTGATCTTGAAGCCGATTTTGTTTCAAACCAAGAGAACTCCGTCAATCGAATGAAGAAACCTAATCAGCAGTTATCGGCTGTTTTGTGAATTCCTTACTACCTATAGTCTAGATTGAGGAAGCCCTACCAGATATGACTCTCGTGCGATGCGCTACGTTTCCCACTTGCTCACAAGAATAACCATGTTTCTTATCTTTAACTGGCTCTGTTGTCCACTTTCAAATCCACTACTTTGGAATATCATTGGGATACTGATGGCAAATCATTATCTTAGTGACACTCCAAACAAACTAGCATTGGCCCTAACTGGTCTCAAACTATTCGCTAATAAGCTACAGAAGAAAAAATATGGATGTATACAGTGAAAGATTGAGGCTGCGGGATCCCTCGCTCGAGAATAAACAGGCTCTCCTTTTATTCTATGATGACTAAGACATACAAGTCGTACCCAGCATTTTGACTTTATTAGTTTGAACTTTATTGAAGACACATTGCAAAGAGCACTCCTGCCAGCCACTTCGTTCCTGTTTTATCTCAATTCTGAGACGGCACTGTGCGGACAGGGTGCAGTTGAATCTCATTTCAATATAAATGTTAAACACCTCGTCAAATGATCATTGGTAATCATGAAAAAGGACAGAAGATTGGAGAATTCGACAACACGTTCTCTTTGGCGGAAGTGAATATGTGTTCGGCAACGCGTCTTATTCACGTGCCTGTTCGCTTTTTCATGCTGAAGACTGTGGGCATAATTGGAAGTGACAAATATCAGCGTCTAGAGTATATATTTCTCTACGTTATGATGAATCACTTTCTGCGAAGGAACGAACCTACCGATGAATACGGTAAGAAATGTGACGTATTGATTTGGAAAACAAGTCACCTTGTCCTTTGAAGGATTGCGGTGGGGCATTTGCAACAACTGTTTCCACTTGGAAAGGTAGGCTTCACCTGCGAGGTCATCACATTCTCTCCGGTCGCCCACCGTGACTATACCTCAGAAATCTTTTGTTATCTCTTACTGGAACGTGAACATCCCTATTTGACCTCGATGCGAGTGCCACCTCAAGCTCCTTTATGAGTGTTGAAAAACGGTATGAGGTGGCAAATCTAAAGCTTTTCTGTCAGAATCCTCTCCATCACATTCACTCTCTCCTCAAATGATTGATATGTGGCCCAAACGTCCTATTGTTGTTAATTTCATTATTTTAAAATGGCCAAGGCCAAGTTCTTGACGCATTCTACCGCGGAGTTCACATATAGAGAAAAACCCGAATGCACCCTAAGGTAGCTCTCATTCAGAGTGGATTCAAACAGTAAGTTATAGAATTTATGGCAACCAGACCGTTTAATCAGAAGGATTAAGTAACAATGCTAAGTAGCTGCTGGCGCTATTGGTTGAAAGAGGAGTGATAGTGGGCGATAAGAGCATCAATTGTTGACGATTTGCACCCTGTGCTGCAATCGAAAACGATGGTTTGTTTTATTGTCATGCCATGCAATACAACAACATACTTAGAAGTTCCAATTTGTATCGGCTATTTACAACCGCTAGGCGCAACTCCAATTGTGACGATGATTTCCTCAAATGGTGTTGTCCAACAATTTCACTTTTCGATGTGTTGTCCTCTTGTTCTGTTACGCTTGTGACCTTTTCGAAGAATGTGTCAATTGTTATCGATTTCATTCATTGCAGTCTATGAGAGTGCTAACCATTGAAATCGCGTATTTCCTACTAATCGCTACGGTGAACGGCGTGAGGAGGAAACGTGTTCACCACCCCAGTGATGATCACCTCTCCTACGCGTTGGTAAAGAAAATGGTCGAGCAACTGGAGGAGCAGGCCGAGCTACACTTCTACGATGACAGTCTTTACTCTATCACAACCACCAGCAGTATTCCCCAAGTGACAACCTTGCCGGAATATATTGATAGTGACATCACCTTACGTCTTTATCCGTCTGGAATAGAATACGCTTTAGAGGTGGGTGTGTTAAGGTCAGCAGTCAATATGATACTCAACCACCAGTCAATATGATACATGTATTGTTAACTTTTTTAAGCAGCAACAACACAACAATACTTAGACCAATACTTCCGCATTTCTAGCAAATTATGCTGGCCATTCGCCATGATGCAATGCGACACCGTCCTCACACAATACGAACTTCTTACCATGGCATGGACATCAACATTAATTCTATCCAAATCGTTGACTTTCTGGTTCCGAAGCTCGAAGCTGAAGTAAGTGTTTAAGAGTAAATTTGAGCTTATTGTTATTCAACGCTGCTCAAGAGGTTCAAGGCAATTCACAATTTAAGCGTCTCAGCGAGACAAAGTTTCGCTTTTTCACTCATGGAGGTGGTATGCGCTACCTCGGCCTTTACTCCACAGTCTATAAAACCAAGAGGGAAGGCCAATTCGAAGCGATCCTGGATGATATACGGATTCAGCTTGATGTCGAGTTCAGCGACGAGGATGAGCACATTACCGTGAGTCTCAACAAGATTATTTTGATTAACCTAGATTTAAAAAAGCTTGAGTTTAGGTTACCAAGAAGAAGTGTATCGCCAGAATTGAAGAGGTGCTAGTACAACTGATCCCTCCAATGCCAACACAAATTATAAACCTGTTGAGGTTAGTTATTATTCGTTAAGGGTCAAACTGAGAATCAGGGATAGTTTGATTCCCTGAATTTGAACACCTGATTGGGTAACGCTACCTAACGTATTTGTCAGGGAATCACTTTCGAAATTTCACATTTGACTCGCTTCACTTCGCAAAAGCTTGCCTGATCATGTACTTTTCCATTTGTAACTGGCTCCACCCTGAGTAAGACGTTTTTGCTTACTGATAGTAAACGACGGTTAGTCTGTCTTCGAAGCGGATATTACCTGGAGAGACTTTTGTTAGAACTTTTGTACGATTGCGTTCAGTTCTCATCAGTTAAGGCAACTTTAATTGGGTTCGAATCTAGATGATCAGGACGGGGAGACGATGAAGAGACAAGAGTAAGAAGGTGAAGAGTCTAGAAAAAATTGCTTTCGAACGGAGAAAGTTTCAATGTTAATCTTTAAAAGTTTTATTTTCTGCTCATGCTGGATGTAAAATGTGGAACGAAGCGTAGTATTTGCTCAACTGAGCACGACT